AAATTCCCAATGTGGGTCACAGAGTCCGGGACGGTCAAGTTTGCCAAAGAGCTGCAACCAAAAAAGGCCCAATCGCCAATGTGGGTCACTGTTTCTGGGATGATCAATTTTGCCAAGATTTTGCAACCGTCAAAAGCATTCTCAAGAATGTGCGGTTCATCGTGTGGAATTTCGACAACAAGCAGCAGTTCTGGGTCAACGATACCACCAAGACTGGCAATCGCATCTTTGTTGGAGGAGCAAATCACTTTGTTTGGTTTGAAGACAACACTCACAACAGTATCTTCAGCAATTCCAGCTTCCAATACCTTTGCATCATTGGCCAGCAAGTGGTTGTCTCCGACAATGATCTCCACACTCGTAGTGCTCCGAGTGAGCTCGTCCCAGGGCTGTCCTTGCTTGATCTGCTGCTTAAGCTCGCGGCCTGTAGTCTTTGGTGTGACTTCGAGAACCAGGATTGCACCGCTCGGCTGCCTTGCTGAAATGGTTGTTGCCATGGCTCACAAACTGCGGATTTGGATTTAAGCTGATTGCTTGTCCTCTACCAGCACCCTCCAACAGGTGCTTCCTTGTGACAACAGGTGCCCAGAAACCACCTGTTAGGGTCTCCAAACAACCTGTTGGAAGGTGCTTAATAGTTGACATTACACACGCGAACCGTGGAGCTTGCTTCGGCTTTGAGTCACTGGAGCTTCGGCGTATTCTGTTTCACCGTACACACCGAATCTGGGCTCCTGGACATGCTCTCTTAATGGATTTCCAACGGCTGCGCGATCGCCGCCGCAGCGCGCTCAGGAACACCACCGTGGTACGTGCCCGCCGCAGTCTTCGGGTACAAAGGACGCGACAAAGAATGTTTCCTGGTTCTTCACAGTGACCGTACTTGATCACCTGCACTTAAGCCTCCTAAGGGTCACTTAGGAACCTTCAAAAGGTCACGAACTGAAGAAGCTGGCCATTGGAATCCATGCATGTGTGCTTTTAAAAAATATGCTTCGCTCGGAGATGCCGCTCGGAGATGAGTTGAAGAAGGAGCGAACTATCCCCTAGGGCCCTATATATGCTGTCAAATAGATAGGGGAATTCTCCCATCAGGCAACTCAGAAATGAGTTGAAAGACCTATAGACCTGGACCTTCATGGGGTGTCCAATAGAGGTCCCTTAGTGGTGTAGGGGCTTCGATTGGTGACCCCTTTGAAGGTGCTGGGACGTATGGATCATCGAACAGTGAAACGAGGGTTTCAAGAAGAACGACTGGCTGGGAAAGTTCAGATCTCCACACCAAATCGCAGTTCAGATCTCCAGTCATTACTCAACTGAACTGGGACTGGTGGAAAAACGTGACTCCAGTCATGACCCGTATACGGTTTGTGGGAGATCGACTGTCCCCGCCTCCGGGGGCAGAGCGGCCCAACGTGCCGAGGCCAAGAGGATGAACAACGCCTGGTCGCTGCGGGGCTTTCGGGGAGCGGCGAGGCCCAATCAGGGGTCGGACGTTCTTCCTCAACCTCCTGGGGCTATAACCTGGAACCCCAGTCCCAACCAGAAAGAAACGGATGGAACTCCCCAGTCCCAAACCATTTCCTATGTAAAGGATTTCAAGCAAGCCATATTGGAACAGCCATTTGTTTCTGGTTGGAACTGGGGTTCCAGGCACCTACTAACCCATGGGTATAGACTATATGGTAGACTCGATTGGTTCCTTCTTCCACGCGGTTCTCACTGTGTTCCACCAAAAGTCCGTCGGCTCGTTGTGACCGGCGCTGCGACGTGCGTCCAGCTGCGTCCAGCATGCTTCCAGAGTCTCCTTCGTTCGTCCGGGACAGGTCTCCTTCCGAGACCTGCCAGGTCTCCGCTTTGACCTGTTGGAGCCCTGTCGAACCCTCTGGAGATCTGGCAGAGTCGGATGCTGGGTCTGAGATGGCACTATACCAGGACCCTCCGTTTTCGGGGTGCCCTGTCTGGAAGCCTAATTAGGCCGGTAGTGTGGGGTAGTCGTTCGCCAGGACACCCCAAGGTTCGGAGGGTCCAGGTACCAACAGAGGTTGAATGACCCTATAGACTATCCCAGTTCGGTACCCCAGTAGGGTCCTATCAGGTCACTGGCTACCTCTCTTGGTATAGAGGTTGCACCACGTGGCCAGCCCCGGTGGCACACGGCACCGCACCGGTCCGCACTCCAACAGGCCGCACTCGTCGCGTGTGTGCGCAGGTGGCGCGCGCGAAGGGGTCGAAAGAAGCGTTTTTGAGAGGTTCATGTGGGTGGAATGGACCCAAGCTATCTACGACCTTCCGTTTGAGGTGTCTGTAAAGTAGCCTTGTTTTGAGTCCCATACTGAGTCCAGGTATCTCCGGTATCTCTGTACTTCAGATGGTTTGGGAGGTGAATTCGTATTAAACCAGAGAAAGGTCGAACTGGAGCCAAAAGGACATCCTGCGAAGACAAAGAAAAAACCGCCCCAAAAGCCACCGCCAGATGGCTCCTTCCCATTTTCTTCCCACTTCATGGTTGCCGGAGGTCACTCCGAGTGAGGCAAACCGTCCGACCCCCTTCCGGTCACGGTGACGCCAGTGCTGCGCTTCTTTCGCAAGTCGTGCTTTCGTTCCAAATGGATGAGGCGTGCGTCGTTCCCATGGCAGGGCCAGCTGCCAGCTGCTTTCGTTCGGAGTTACCAGATGGACAACACTATACCCTATACTTACAGGCCTTCTTTGGGCACCCATTGGAAGCGCTAGGTGTGTTTCTTGTCGTGTTTATATCGATGTGTATAGCGATTCAGATGTTGCATGATCCGTCCCATCATCGGAAGATGGTTTGGACTCCAGATGGGCCACCCGTCGCCCGAGTCCCGCGTCCCCGCGCCAGGAGCTGTGGCCATCGGCTGAGGCACAGCGCCAAGCGCTGACCTCGGGGCCGGGCGGTGAAACCGTCGGTTCGCCACGTCGGTTTGGAGGGTTGAAGAAGGGATGTTTGGGTGATGGTTGGGTGAAGTATTTGGTTGAACAAGTCCAATAAAAGGGTTCTGGGACTTTCAGAACCAATTCAAACACACAAGCTCATAGAAGGCCGGGCGATGAAAGTGAGTTGAAGGAAACACGTTTGGAAGAAGGATGCGGCCAAGCTCCGTCTCATCCGGAATACTCTGCGCAAACCGGCCACCGGGTGGGGCTCAACAAAAAATCATCAAGAAAGCATCTGAACCAGATTAATTCGTACACCAAACTCAACGGATTGGTGGAGTTTCTGGTGCTCACAAATCAACGGAATCAACACAAAAATGAACCAATGACGGTGAACCCATCTTTAGATATTCAATCTTCCGGACTCACAGCGATGCACAGCACATATGCTTCACAACTTCCCCAATCAGACCCATGACTGCAGTAATGGGCAAGGGGGCTGGAGCATCTATTCTTACTGCTGTTGGGTAAATCCTTTCCAAATCTTCATTGCATTGATCTGTTTCGCTTGATTTTGTTCCACCACATTGGAAGGTCAACATGGCATTGGTTTCTCAGCGGAACATGTTAAGTCACATCTGTTCCAAGAAAGCAAGCGTCCATCAAGCGTCCGTCAACTGAATGACAAACCTCAGATGCCTTGCCCCTCTCTCCAAATCAGCCCACCATAAGGTAACGGAGGAAAGCGTGCGCGCGTGTGCAGGGTTTGCACGCTGCACCCATGGGGCACAAGGAAATGCATGACCCCAACCCCAATTCGATCATGGATCATTGATAAAACTGCATTTCTCTCGGAGGTACTCTTAACCACTCCGTGCTGGTTTCTCAAAACAACCATTAGATTAACAACGCCTCCCATAGTTTCCCTTGAAACAATTTGATGAACCTGTTCTAGTTCTTTGCAGGGTGTCCCTCTCTATCCAATCAAGAACAACATGCAGTTTCATGTGAAATGCGGTTTCGATTGAAAACATCACGGATACAAAACAAACACCCATAGTCCCCTCTCGACACGATAGGGGCGTCACTAGTCGGCTGCACCGCCTGAAATGGGGAAAACTAACATCATCAAACATCATTGCAGCCTGCTACAGTCTTTGGAATCATCATGGAAGTGGATGGCACCACCTGTACCATGGTCTTCGCCGCGCCGCGCAACTGCTATGGGTGCCGTACTGGTGGTGTGGATCTGCTGTAGTGACTGCAACGCCTTGCGTCTCGCACAAATGCTCATTGATCACGCCCAGTGTGCATCCAACAGAGGTTGAATGACCCTATAGACTATCCCATAGGTACCCCAGGTGACGGGTCCTAGTTCAGGTCACTTAACCTCTCATGGATTGACATCATGACGCATGACACGGTGGAGTAGTGGGGACGGCCACTGTTCCAAGCTCGTCTGGTTGGGAAATTCATCCGACACCAAACGAAGCCGAGACCCTGAAACACATGGATTCACAGAAAACGGTTTTGATCTCTTTCACTCCCAAGACCCTTTTCTGTTCCGGCCACACCGGAAGAAGTTGCTCTCCACAGCACCGAACAGCACCGGTTGCTCAACAAAAAACCTGTGAACTGCTCCGGATGCTTCGCCATGACTCCTCGGGCAGCACCCGTTGGTTTTGGCGGTCGACCACCCGGTGGCGCCACCGACGCACACCTCGACGCACCTCGACTCGTTCAACGAGACGTTTCTCTGGGCAAGGCTTGGATACTATAAATCATACCAGGGGCCCGACAAACCATCAAAAACCTGGTTTTCACTAGCAACGAAAACGGGTTTTGGTATGTGAAAACCTCTATTTTTCATGGTTTTGAGGGCCCTTGGTAATATATAAAGCTTGCATGACCCTCTGGAGAGCTCAATGATATCTATAGATTAGAATTTGCAAGCATAGACCCCAAGCAGTTTCAAAACGATTCGTTTAGATCAATATTAGTAAAAAATTAATTTCTTGGTACGCCCTACTTTCACCCCATTCATCAATGATTTTTGTTCGGCATTGACATCGCTACTTGTTCGGCCGCACTCCTCTCCAGTAAGCCGGGCCACAGAGACCAGCCACAGAGTTCAGGGGCGCGGCCAAGAGGAGGACAAGACCCAGACACAGAGCCGGGCCACAGAGCCCAGCCACAGAGTTCAGGGGCGCGGCCAAGACAAGGACAAGAGGAGGACAAGAAGAGGACAAGGCCCAGCCACAGAGCCCAGCACAGAGGACAAGAGGAGGACAAGAGCCCAGTAAGCCGTCCATAGCACACGATCGCGCGCGCGCTCGCCCTGCTCTCTTTCTTTCTTTCTTTCTCTCTCTCTCTCTTTATCTTTAAGTTTCTCTTTCTCTGTCTTTCTCTCTGCAGAGCGCGCTCTAAGCGCGCCTTTCTGGAGCGTGAGCGCGCCGTCCATCGAACACGAGCGCACGCGCTCGCCCTGCTCTCTTTCTCTCTTTCTTTCTTTCTTTTCTTTTTTTTCCTTTCCTTTCCTTTCCTTTCCTTTCTTTTCCTTTCTTTCTTTCTTTCCTTTCCTTTCCTTTCTTTCTTTCTTTGTTTCTTTCTTTCAGTCTCTCTCGTTTAGGGGCGCGGCCAAGAGGAGGACAAGGCCTGGACACAGAGCCCAGCCAC